ACGGAGGTTTGTCAGCACATCTCACCGTGACCGCTGCTTGGCCACTGTGCTTCCTGAATGAGAGCTACTTTTTAGTTATCTCAATATTTGCTACCTTGTAAAGTTGTAAAACCTGGCACTGATTCTACTTCATTATGGGTTACTGAGAAAAAGAGAAAGAGAAAGAGAAAGAGAAAGAGAAAGAGAAAAGAGAAGAGGAAAAAGAGAAAGAGAAAGAGAACAGAGAAAGAGGAAAGAGAAAGAGGGAAGGGAAAGAGAAAGAGAAAGAAGAAAGAGGGAAAGAGAAAGAGGAGGAAAGTGAAAGTAAAGAAAAAGAGAAAGAGGGGAAAGAGAAAAGAGGGCAGAGGGAAGGAAGAGAAAGAGAAAGAGAGAATGAGAAAAGAGAAGAGAAAGAGGAAAGAGAAAGAGAGACAAGAGAAAAGAGGAAAGGAGAAAGAGAAAGAGAAAGTGAAAGAGAAAAGGAAAGAGAAAGAGAATGAGAATGAGAAAGAGAATGAGAAAGAGAATGAGAAAAGTGATAGAGCTTGTTTCGACAACTAAAGGAGAATAGAGCTACCTGTGGTAGAGTGTTATTGAGACTGTCCCAGGTCAGAGTAGATAAGAGGAGGTATCGGGCATTGATTTGAATACCTCTACTCATTCCTGAAAACTGGTATACTTATAGTGGGGGTGTTCACTGTTGTATTTAATATCCTCCCCCGAAATAAATGATCTTATAGTACATTTTGTTAGCATTTATTGATTTTACTATTTTTACCTAATGACCTTGTATTTGGTTGAAAGTTGGAAATCCAGTTGTTAAGAGAACTGTATTCGAAGTTATTGTAAGCTGTAGGTTGCTTTGTAATCGTATAACGGTTGGACTAAGGAGCATCGTAGTTAACATTGTCTCGTTCACTTGCTCTGAAAAGAATATGGCTTTACAATTGTTGGGGTGAATCTTTTAAGTATATAGATATGAGAAAGAAATACAAACTGTAGCTCCTCGTTCTGTGTTCGATTAACATTTAGTTAACTGATTCTAACTTTAGGAATTGGGTCGGGGAGTCTGCTTGACTCGAAATATGGGGTTGAAACATACTGATGTTTCTGATTATTGTTCCAAAGGTGGAACATACTGTGTTCTGAAAATATTGTCACAAGAACATTGAAAACTCACAAATCGTTACGGTATTGTGTTGACACGAGGGATAATGGATTAAAACGGGGCATAACAATTTTTGGGAAAACTTTATTCGCGTATCGTGATTCTTACTGTGTTAGGCCTCTAAATCTTACATTAACAGAGTCTATTTCATCTTCGTTTGGACTCTCCTTTGGCAGCTGTCTATGAAAGTGTCCTGAATATGAAAAATTAGTTCATGTACGTGCTTTTACATTCTGTTGTTAACATTTCTTTTAGCAGTTCTTAAGTTTCTTTACTTACAGATTGAAGATTAAAGTTTGTAAACAAATTACGGCAAGGTTCAAGTCGTTGACCTCACTAAGTTTAGACATCTGCTAATTGGTTTCCGGATAGAGCAAATTTATTCCTTTAGATTTTAAGATCATTGACTAAAAAAAATCTATTAATTCGCTAATCAAACTGGGATAATGCGATTACATTATTAAATTGCCGAGGCGCAAGCCGAGTGGGAAATTGATACAATAATCGCACGAGGCGAAGCCCAAGTTCGATTATTTTTTTGGGGGGGGCCCCCCAGTTATTTCACGATGCGCAGCCGAGTGCAATATTTGTTTAACAAAATACAATGTGTTTTCGCACGTAAATTAATGTGTTCAACCAATCATGATGACTTAAATCAGTATTAAAACGTATGGAATATAAATGTATACAAGAGGATCGTAGATGTATCGTGGAAGTTTTCACGGCGGGTTAAAACAAAGAATGCTTATGGTATACGTTGGACGTAATGGTAACTTTTCTTATCAGCATTTTCTGCTTTATCAGGAAAATACTAAATTAACAAGTACTTGGTAGATGCAGTTACATTATTGGTATTTTCATCGTAAGCCAACATTAATCTATAATTATATTCTAAATATTTTGCTAAGGTCATTAGGGTTTTGGATCTTGTTTTTCAAAATGATGAATCGTTCATATCGGTAAGAAGCAAAACGCCTGACTACTCTCTTGAAAACATCATTAAACTGAGAATTATTGGTGTCGAGGATATCGTGATAATTACATAAGATAAGGAAGGACAAGGCTTAAACTAGATATAAAACTACCATGAAAAAGTACTCAAATTAGTCTGATTTAATCGATCATAGTAATTAGCAATTAGTATTAGCAATTTAGGCAAGCTGAAAAGCACCAATCTCGGACAATCATTAAACACACGGACAACTCCAGATATGTGTACGATATCATTGCAGGTAACTTCTTGTTTTACGTTGAGAAAGCAAGGATTCCTATTGATGACGTCCTGCAGGAGCGCAATGAATAGCATAGAAATTGACGATGTTTCTACTGCAAAGAATTGCTTAGAGATTGTCGGAAATCTCGATCCGAGTAAGACTTTCCCAGAATTGTTTCGTTTTAAACTCCTAAAAAAACAAATAACTGCTATTTAGAAACAAAATTATAGTTCGGTGAAAATAACTTTATTAATGAGTAGCTACCAAAATCAATTGAATTCTGTATATGACAATTAACATTATGCCGTGATTATTTTACATGATCTTATTCACGTATCATATCTCACGTGGTGTACCGATCCCAAAATGGAAACAAAGGTCTGGCTCAAACTTACTGAAGAAAAAATTGGCAAACAGGGGGACTGTATAATAGTGAGTAACTTTATTAAAAGTGTAGACTTGGTCCGAAATACTCTCAAATTTTCAGGTAGTCCATTTTTTGGTCTCCAATTAAAATATGATTGTAACATTTTTTGTCGTTAAAGTTTTGAACATTATAATATCAGGTTGATCCAGTGTAATAAAACCTACTGATGCCGTGACCACTAAGATTAAAGACATGACAAAGATTGAACATTTGTTTATATAGATTCCCTAAGTGAAGCGCCAATTTTTGAAGAGTTTGTTGTGTTTTATTGCAAGCAAACTTATAAACGCTTAATCTTTCTTAATTTTGTTATAGTTACAGGGCTATAGCATTGATAAATTTCTAACACTTGTTCCTTTTACTCCACCGCAAAGATTGCTTTGATAATTATTTTTGAAAGATGAGCAGTGTAAATGGAATGTGAAATCAAGGTTCATGAATTACTCAAGATTCGAATTTACAAATCTTAAGTTGTGTCCCTTGAAAGTTATCGGGTTTGACAATTCGTAATTACGCTGAGAATTCTCTTCTTTACAGACTGCTCCAATTTCTGCGTGAAAAATTTTCACCTGAATTATTCAGTGGCCTGCAATTTCCCTAGTAGTGATTAGAGTAATATCAACTGAAAGATGCATTCGGATTACCAAATTCCAAAGTTTTTCCTTAGAAAAAAACTTTTCCAGTTCAAATTTTTTGGAAATCTTTCCAGATATTTCCGAAAATCTGGATTGTTACATTTTGGCTAATCGCCAATTTCTAGAGGCTGCGAACCCGTTGGTCCTCTAATAGCAGAACCGAGTGACGCGTCGCATGTGCTTCTGTGAACCTCTCTACAGTGTAGATCACTGCACAACGACTACTCGTAAGCAATATTGCTACAAAACAAGATAAATGTGGCCAGTCATTGAAAGACAAAGCTATTTTAACAATGTTCAAAACTTTCGATATTTAATCAAATCAGAAATATCATTTGGAAAAAGCTATCGATAATTTATTGGAGCGCAAGTAATATTAACAAATAATTTGTAGTTATAATAATCACCCAGTTCGACGTTTTGATGAATAAAACAAATAACATTAAATACTTTCAAATAAAATCATTAAAATAGGGCTCATTGTTAAACGGCGTATGAACTATGAATCAAAAAATGTGCAATGTATGTTTTAAATAAATCATTTCTGTATAGGGCATACCAATATTGATTAGGTCAAATTTCTCCATCGTGCCGTGTCAACACCGAACGCATCAATAGGTTTTACATACCTCACTATTGGTATGTGGGAGTATGACAATGTCGCACGCTTCATACCTCTCCAAATTCTCTTGTAAGACTCTCAATCTCACTCCAAACCTTTTCTGCCTCTCTGAATTCCAAAATAGCAGCCACACCGTCACCATCACCACCACAACCCCACCACCCAGCCCACCAGAGCCCACTGCCACGATAAGAGTGTGATCACTCTGTCTTCTCTTGTTATCTGCACATGTGTTTATACCCCACGAGGAGGTTGCTTTGCGGAGGTGGACACCCACACGTTGGTACCCTACTCCTGGTTCAGCTGGATCTGTTTTCCACACTGCACGCAAGTGTTCTCCTTGTCGCAGGTACAGTGTCTCCTGTTCCCAGCCTCAGAGGCAGGGACGCGTCTCTTTTCAGCCCAAAACTGTTTCGGTTTATGTGTACTGTGTAGGACGGAGTGCTCCTCTTTGCAATCCCACTCTATTTTTTGTCATTCCGTTTGGTTAGTTCGATCAGGTGAGATTTTCTCCACAGTCGATCAGATCACGCCTCTGGTCAGTGCGAGGGGGTGGGACCGTATGTGTATCCATACATTGCTTGCACTGTCACTCCAGAGGGCCTCCACGTACCACATCCGACCAACATTTCATCTTTATTTTCGTGTGGGTTTCTGAGCTGATTCACGTTCTTTCTGTACCGTCGACAAGCCTTTCCTTGATGAGGGAATTCTTCAGTTTATTCGATAGTTGCAGTGACGGGATTTTTTGATTCTCTTACGCCATTCACAAGCATTTCACAGTTCTGGTGAAGTTTTGTCTTAGATTTAATGTTATTAACAGGAAATCTTCACTTGCATTTGTCCGCTGACTTCCCAACTGAACCTCCAACGGTTCTAGAATGGTCACCGAGATATACTATACAACCCTCAAAGTAGCCATAGGGAACTGAGGTGGAGGGTGGTAGTGGCACCAATGGCGTCTTCTCTGACTGTTGCATCCGGGGCAAGATTTAGATGTCGGAGGTTGAAGGACTTGGATGGTTGTGTTTTACGAGAGAAGTTTGTATTGGAGGGAATTGGAATTCTTCTGGGTGGAATTTCCGAGGATAGTTTCGTAACAGAACGTTTAAAATCCACCATCTGCAATATAAATATTTATAATGCAGTGACCTTTTCTTCAGTATTAGCTAATTGTGTCACGTCCCCATTTTTTGGGGGGGGGGAATTGTTTTTGTTTTATGTTCGCTAGTTAAAACAATCAAAAGTTTTAAAAGATTACTTGTTTTTACAAAGGCACAAACCCGAACTGAGAGTTTGATGGGGCGCCCGTTTTTTGAATAGCCTCTCTGTGTCGTACCATCGTTATATAAATCGGGAAATATATTACTATTTATATATAGCAGTATTTCATATAGAAGTTAAGTGGTTAACACGTTACTACGTGTTGCTTCTACAACTTTTGACCTGAAATCGAAAGTGTGTAAAATCCGAGGTTACCTCTGAAGATCAGGCAATTCAGTTTCTAAAACCGGTTGTTAAAACTAAAAAGTGGATGGAGAGAAAAACAATTAATTCTATCAGAGGGACTCAATCATTCACTTTTGGTTTCTGTAACGCTCACTGAGTCAGTTTCACTTGATAAGTTGGAGACGTCAATGTCTAATTCCAGAAGATGTTTCCAGGTTACGTTTACTTCGTTTCATTTAACGTAAACGTTTTGCCCTCAGAAAGTAATTTTCGTCATAGTAGTTCCATTTTATCATACTCATTTTATGCTGATATTGCTTAAGGGTTTTTCTGCTAGACCTTATTTTTGTTACACGCGGAATGAAAGTATTAAGAACTGTTGGGTATATAAATGATAGCATATGTAACTTATTGATAGCTACGCTGGGATCTGGTCGTCAATGAAATCTCTTATATCAGAAGTAGTAAATATTAACTTACACTATGACCATAGAAAGAGGTTGTCAGCAAAATTAAAATTACGCGCACGATATCTAACTTAATCAATACCTGCTCGTACACAATACACATGATCGATACAATCATTATTACCTTATTTTGCCCTACCCCCAACTAATGAACCGGTTTGGAGTCGACCTTTGCTTATTGATTAGTGGATTTTGAAAATCGTGTAATGGTACGTTCACAGTTCATTCACAGTCTCAGTAACTTCACAACGATAAACCGCCTCCCACTTATTAACTAGGGACATAATATACAGTTAATCAAAACTGGTTCACGATGGTTTGGTTGAAACATAGCTGCCTGTTGTCCGGAATCCATGGGAAACAATACAAAGTAAAATTAATGATACTTTAAAAGAGAGTTGTCAAAAAAGTTAATAGAAATAATAACTGATATAAATTGGAAACTGATTAACGATAAAGGTATTTTCATTATATGAGAATAATAATCCATAAGATTAACTTTTATTAAATATATAATAGACTTATTTCTTAATAAGATTTTCAGGTGATAGTGGCGGTAATACTGTTAGTAGTGGTTTACGCGCTGATAATGACAGAGATAATCCACAGAAACAAAGTGCTGCTCTGCTTGGTGGCGGAGTTTGGGGCTGGGAACTGCTTCAGCTCTTAAATATGGTATGTTAATTGTGAGATTTGGTTAAACTATCAACTATGGTAAAAACTTTTGTTTGAGCTTCATTTCGTGTTTAATTTGTGTACGCGAGATGAGACTTATGACTCGTTATGATTGATCCGTTGTATATTACATGAGGCCTACTTGTCTACTAAATCTTCACTATTATTTTAATTACTATTTCACTAATTAATTAAATAATCTTCACTTTATTTAATTACTAATTCACTATTTAATTAAATAATCTTCACCTTTATTTTTACAGAGGACCCAATATGGAATAATTATAAGTTGGATAGACTGGAGAATTGGCTTTCTACTCATGGGTTGGTAAGTGACGTCGAGGAAATATTATTTATCGGTTCACAGACAAAAACTATTGACCAAGTGTTGCGACAAAGAAATTTTAACACCCCTCCAAAATAAATTTTTGTAGTAAATTTGGAGAAAGTTTTCATGAAAAGAGAGCAAATGACAATTTTCCAACAAAACATTTCACACGAAATTGCACCGGGAATTCAAAAACCCAAAACTACACAATTTATCAAAAGCAATATCTCTTATCATGATAATTTCAGAGAATCGAAATCTTTATATAAGTAGTTACAAGCTTGCATGGTCTTCCATCGCAAAATTAGGGTCCTATTCCTTTAAAAGATTTCCAGAAATTTTCGAATTTATTACTTCTGAAAATGCATCTAATATAAATTTTAAAATTATAAATTTAAAATTCCATAGTAATGTGCATGAGTCGTAAACTACGTGATTTGTAAAATAAGCCTTGGAGTTATGACTCAATATAGTCGATGCAAGTTTCTAACATATGATACAGAGATTGGAGCATGTTGGAAGCAGTGTTACTCAGTAACATGGAATAAGAGTAACACTTTTTCATATTTCATCACAAGTCACTCATGATCGGTGGTAAGAAGTAGTAGTTTTACTACAGCTACGTAGATGTAGATGTATAAGGTAGGATTAGCCAGAACAGGCATTTATCAACAAGAATGGCTAGGAGCGATGGTTTTTGCAAAACAAGAATTTGTCGCGCACGGCCTTCTTGGTCAATGGTCATGGGGACTCGGTCCACAGTAATAGCACCAAGATACAGTAAATCAGTCCAGAGGGACACAAAACTCCTGCATATGCAGCAACAATTTCTGTAGAAAAAACGGTACGTTGTCACTTCAATCGGCTTAATATAAGTCACGTCATGCCGTTTCAAGATGGATACAATGCTGGCAAAATTTTTAGAATAAAAAATTTTAATTAATTTACGTTCCAGTCCTAGGTTTATATACTTGCTTCATACATTGAAGCAGGTATATTTTCGGTATTGAGTTTGATTTTTGAACTTATGCTTTTGACCCCCTAATTATTAAAAGGGATTTTGAAATTGTATCTAATAATGTTGTCTTTTTGGTAAGTGGAAATTACACAATTTGGATGATTCCATTAAAGATGAGGTAGCAATGACAAATAACAATTGAGTTCTGTATTATGAAAATTATTATATATTCCATACAGAAGTTCTTCGGAAAACTTCAGCAGCATACGTCATACCTGCCCTTCTTTCACTTTTGAAACGACACCAATAGGCTTATATTTCAAATTAGTTCATGTAGTTAATCAATATAATTACCAAATTACTTTCAGATGTTAATGGTGGCACTGCTGGCAGACTCGGGATTCTTCGACTGGACAGCGGTGAAAATGTACGAGCTGTCCAAAGGAAGGATCTGGGTGTTACTTACCCTTCTAAATGTGTGCACTGCTGTCATGTCCGGATTCTTAGTGAGTAGCAGCTTTGTTTAGAGACCCACTCCTATTATTCAAATTTAGCCTCAATGCTTAAAACACTTGACCATCAGTATTTAGTTCGCTAGTTTGTGCTAATGTGAATATGTTTCAGGATAACGTAACCACCATCCTTTTGATAACACCCATAACTATCACGTGAGTTTCAACTTTGCAACCATTAACAACTAATTATAAAAATAAAAAATAAACAAAATTTTGTTTTAAAATAATTTTTTTTAAAAGAATTATGTTTTTATCTCCGCAGAAGTTTTGTCAGTAAAACACCTATGTTCGATTAGAAACATGATTTATCCGAATTAATTTATTTAATGGATCTTAGAAAGTTAAGTTGTAAATACATAGCTTGCCGGGTAATAACTCTATAAAATTTCAACTAGTTTCCATACAGGTTGTGTCAGGTGATGCATCTTGATGTCAAGAAGGTGATTCTAGCGATGGTGATGTTTTCAAATCTCGGAGGAGCTTCTACCGGTATAGGTGATCCTCCCAACGTTCTTATCATCAACTCTCCACTCCTTAATAGTGTAGGTTAACTCGTTGTTTTGTTGTTTTGTTTACGGGATTTATTTTAATTGAGGCTCGTGCTCTCACTACTCATAGTCAGTAATTGTGACAAGAAAACACACAAAATACAATTATTCTGGTATTTCGGGTCATGGAAATCATTTGGAAGCTATAACTATAAGCTAACCCTCGCTATTATTACAGAAGATAACATTCGGGAAGTTTACTGGCCACATGATGGTTGGTTCTATTCTCTGTTCAGTGGCTGCTTACATTTACTTTTGGTAAGTAGTGATTACCTTTCTGACTGTTATCACGTTTTTGCTTGCCTCCAATTACTTAGATATATACTACATTTTAAGCTCGGATGTCTAAAGCCTTTCATGGCAGAAATATAGTTTAATTGCTGCGTGGATATTTCCCCTGCCTAATCGCAAATAAATAACAGTAAGTTAAACTGACTGTTATTACTTGTTAAGAAAGAAATCTCATGATAATGTACATGAATAATATGACGGGAATTATATTTACCCATTTGTTACAGGTTGATGTTGAACTATTTACCCATTTGTTACAGGTTGATGTTGAACTATTTACCCATTTGTTACAGGTTGATGTTGAACTATTTACCCATTTGTTACAGGTTGATGTTGAACTATTTACCCATTTGTTACAGGTTGATGTTGAACTATTTACCCATTTGTTACAGGTTGATGTTGAACTATTTACCCATTTGTTACAGGTTGATGTTGAACTATTTACCCATTTGTTACAGGTTGATGTTGAACTATTTACCCATTTGTTACAGGTTGATGTTGAACTATTTACCCATTTGTTACAGGTTGATGTTGAAAAGGACCGCTAAGAGTCTAATCGTGCAAGATAATGATGTTCAGGAACTTCTGAGGGAGGCTAAACTTTGGCAGAGAATAGCGGACCGGAGTTACATCGGTTTGTTATAATACAATAATACCTTGGCTTTTGAGGGCTACACGCGATAATTCCCGACAGCTTGCTGGAGGGAACGCGTGGCCCGAAAAGAAGCCAAGGTATTATTTGTTATAATTTTTTTCGGTTCCGATTGGAAGATGTGTAATGTGATACGTGCGCGTTATACAATATAGACTATAGTGTTTATATATAACCTTAACCGTTATATTATTAAGCTGTATAAAACATAGTTGGTCAGTACGCACTGTACGAACTTTTAGAAGGTGCCGAACTGTACGAATTTTAAAAAGCTGTCGAGGAATTTTTACCGAATTTTATGAAAAAATTTTGTTTTAGAGAAAATTTTACACTTCAGATTTAAAATATTAACACGTCGACACGCCATCGTTTCCCTCAATTTATGAGGCGAATTTTTCCCGAACTAATCCCGAACTTTTAAAAGGTGCCGAACTGTACGAATTTTTTACAAATTTTGTACGAACTGACCAACTATGGTATAAAAGAAAACTGATGACACATATCGCTCCCCTTGTACATTGCACACATACACTGTTAAAGCACGAATTTTCACCCATAAAGGGACCCATAAAGGGACACTAACTGTACCCTATTTGGGAAATCATCCTAGTAATTGTTTTAATAGTATCAGATACAGTATCAACCATCTCTAATACTGTATCTGGCATCTCTAATACTGATATTGTTTTAACCCACCTTTACCTAGTTTTCATCATTACCAGGAACGACGGATGAAGTGGCTGTGAAGGAAATGTTAGCGGGTAAAGCTGCACAGGTGACACGTCTTGCGGAGGAGAGAGTCATGACACCACAAGAGGTGACCAAGACTTACAACGTTAACCTGCCTAAACTTAGAGCTCAGTGAGTCTTTAAATTATTTAAAGATAAAGAATAAAAAAGTATTTAAAGGATTGCTCAGAGTTAAATATATTTTGTGCGTAACAAGATTGTTGAAACGGATGTCTTTTTACTGTAAGATATTCTTTTGGTTATTGATTGACTTGGCAGGTTGATTTTGCTTGTGGGTAAGGAAGCAAACGCTTCTAAAGAGTAATCGTAAAATTTTATCCTGGGGAACTGATTGAATAAACTTCAATTTTGGTCTTGTTACCCTTTTCAGTTTCAATTTTCATCACTTGTGCTCATGTTTCCAATAAGTTAACCTTGGTTGAGGAAACCAGTAATTCTTAGATCAAATTAATGATTCGAACTTCAGCTTGAACACGTTGAGTTATTAGGATGAGTAGAAAATCTATCCTTGTGCTTATTTCCTTAAATTCTTATCTCATTATCTTTTAGCAACGATAGCATTATCTCTTAGCAACAATAGCAACGATAGCAGAGTCCACTGGTTAAACGATATGTATTAGCTAATCATGATACATAAAACCAACCTGCCCATTTCCTGAATAACACTTCCTATTTCCGCAACCTTTTTCCTGCGTAGCTCTCCCGAGTTCGAAGAAATACCAACTTGTATTTCTAAGAAAGCATTTTGATATTAATGATCGAACTTGCTGCTTCCCAATCTGATAACATTGCCTCGATGTTTGGTTAACCATACAAATTAAACCCTCCAACTGCTTTTTGTGAGCTGCATTCTTAGAAGGGCTTGCAGTAACCATGGTTACCAACGGTTACCAACGGTTACCAACAGTTACTAACCAACCCACTTACCCAACACTCCACACCAGATACGGTATCAGAGATAAGGGGAAACTTGTCAAAACAGCAACTGTACTGATAGTGTGCATCTTGCTGTTCTTCGTGTACTCCCTGCCTATAATACATACTACGCCCGGAGAGGTCGCTATGGCTGGTGCCATTGCGCTCATCATCGTCATAGGTTTGTAGCTCATTACATGTTTCTGGGTATACCTTATCATTGTCATACGTTTGTAGCTCATTTGGAATACATGTTTCTGGATATACCTTATCATCGTCATACGTTTGTAGCTCATTTGGAATACATGTTTCTTATCATCGTCATACGTTTGTAGCTCATTTGGAATACATGTTTCTTATCATTGTCATAGGTTTGTAGCTAATTTGGAATACATGTTTCTTATCATTGTCATAGGTTTGTAGCTAATTTGGAATACATGTTTCTTATCATTGTCATAGGTTTGTAGCTAATTTGGAATACATGTTTCTTATCATTGTCATAGGTTTGTAGCTCATTTGGAATACATGTTTCTTATCATTGTCATAGGTTTGTAGCTAATTTGGAATACATGTTTCTTATCATTGTCATAGGTTTGTAGCTCATTTGGAATACATGTTTCTTATCATTGTCATAGGTTTGTAGCTAATTTGGAATACATGTTTCTTATCATTGTCATACGTTTGTAGCTCATTTGGAATACATGTTTCTTATCATTGTCATACGTTTGTAGCTCATTTGGAATACATGTTTCTTATCATTGTCATAGGTTTGTAGCTAATTTGGAATACATGTTTCTTATCATTGTCATAGGTTTGTAGCTAATTTGGAATACATGTTTCTTATCATTGTCATAGGTTTGTAGCTCATTTGGAATACATGTTTCTTATCATTGTCATAGGTTTGTAGCTAATTTGGAATACATGTTTCTTATCATTGTCATACGTTTGTAGCTCATTTGGAATACATGTTTCTTATCATTGTCATACGTTTGTAGCTCATTTGGAATACATGTTTCTTATCATTGTCATAGGTTTGTAGCTCATTTGGAATACATGTTTCTTATCATTTTCATAGGTTTGTAGCTCATTTGGAATACATGTTTCTTATCATTGTCATAGGTTTGTAGCTCATTTGGAATACATGTTTCTTATCATTGTCATAGGTTTGTAGCTAATTTGGAATACATGTTTCTTATCATTGTCATAGGTTTGTAGCTAATTTGGAATACATGTTTCTTATCATTGTCATAGGTTTGTAGCTCATTTGGAATACATGTTTCTTATCATTGTCATACGTTTGTAGCTCATTACATGTTTCTGGATATACCTTATCATCGTCATACGTTTGTAGCTCATTTGGAATACATGTTTCTTATCATTGTCATAGGTTTGTAGCTCATTTGGAATACATGTTTCTTATCATTGTCATAGGTTTGTAGCTAATTTGGAATACATGTTTCTTATCATTGTCATACGTTTGTAGCTCATTTGGAATACATGTTTCTTATCATTGTCATACGTTTGTAGCTCATTTGGAATACATGTTTCTTATCATTGTCATAGGTTTGTAGCTAATTTGGAATACATGTTTCTTATCATTGTCATAGGTTTGTAGCTAATTTGGAATACATGTTTCTTATCATTGTCATAGGTTTGTAGCTCATTTGGAATACATGTTTCTTATCATTGTCATACGTTTGTAGCTCATTACATGTTTCTGGGTTTACCTTATCAATATCATCGTCATACGTTTGTAGCCTATTTGGAATACATGTTTCTGGATATACCTTATCGGACGTTATTTGACCGGACATTTTGTGGACAGACATAATTTTGAACGGACATCATAGGCATTCATTTAATATATTTAATTTAACTACCTTGTCGGACTTTAATTGAACGGACATTAGAATGATCGCTAGGGCCTCCAGCGTCCAATTAATGTCCGACTCCGTTCAAATAAAGTCCGATAAGGTATCTATAGGAAGTATTGCTTAAGTATTTTATCCTTCTTTTAAAACGACTAACGAGGGGTCAAAATCAACTGAAATGTTTTGCTACTCACATTCTAAAGTTGTGAATTTTGAACTTTTTTAACTAATGTATCAACCACAGATCACCACGACATGGAAGGTCTGCTACACAAAGTAGAATGGACTACTCTTATGTTCTTTGCTGGACTTTTCATTTTAGTGGAGTGTCTTGAGAAACTTGGGCTCATAGGTAAATACCTTATTTGATTAATTAATTATTTTTTCAATCAATTGTAATTTGTTTAATCAATTATTGATATTCTCAAAATCGACGAGATTGACAAATACCAAGCTTGCTTCATATTCAAACTATATCACATTCTAAAATGCTTTAAATATCAAAATGATAACAAACCTTCATGGAGAGTCGAATAGTCATCGTGACGTCCTTCCAGGTACCCTCGGAGAGTTTGCAGCGACGACCATAAAATCAATCTCACCTGACTACCAACTAGCTGCTGCTATCTCAATCATCCTCTGGATGGCAGCCATCATCTCAGCTTTCATCGATAACATCCCCTTTACCGCCGCTATAATCCCCGTAATCTCACAAATCGTTACAGAGACTGGTTTACCTTTAGAGCCGCTGGTTTATGCTTTAGCGTTTGGGGCATGTCTCGGGGGAAATGGAACACTCATTGGAGCTTCTGCTAATATTGTAGCTGTGGGCATAGCGGAGGAGAAGGGGTACAAAATATCGTTTTTCGATTTTATGAAGTTAGGATTGCCCGTTATGTTTGTGACGGTTACTGTTGCCCATATATACCTGCTTGTTTGTCATTGCTGGTTTGGGTGGGGTAATGGATGAGCATTATCATGTTAAACTTTTAGATAAACTTCAAATGCTATTAAATTTCAAATAACGATCGCCGCAAACGGATGGACGACCATCGGTTCTGTTTTCGCTGGCGAATGTTTTACAGTTTATTTCATGAAACTAATCACAATATTCTTCAGCTTTTTTGTTTAAAATATAATTTGTTATAACATGACAACTGTCATTTTTATTCTAACGAAATAAACAGTCTGTTTTTGTAAAAGAGATTAGAAATTGAACCTCAATTGTGGCAGATTGCTTTGGTGATTTTTCCAAGATATCTATGTTAAATTTTCATTAGTATCTAATTCGTAACTAGTCGGTAAGTTAATCCTGAACAATTTTCTTTATCTTATTATTACTTTTACAGACAGTAATAGTATTAAGTACTAATAATGAATAAGACATACTTATAGAAAACCCATTCAATTTTAGTTTTACCCCCGTACCCACTACCCATGTTGATGGGAAACTAAGGCTGTCGGGGTAAAACTAAACGTACTGTCATGCGACACGTAGTACGAAACCTGAAGTTCGAAAAGACCTCCCTCTTTCGCACTAGAGTTCGTGTCGCACTACAGTCCAGGTAGCGTACTGTAGTGCGACACCAGATCCTGTCATATTTCCAAGCTCAGGTCGGTTCCTATCCTTCTAATGGACCATTAAGTGATTCGTCGGGTCGGTTCACGACAAGTATGTCGAAGTGATCCACTGAGTCAGTGAGTCAGCAGGTGATCCTATCACACGCAATCTCTGATTGGGATAACAAGTTCATATGCTTGGGCCATATATGACTACCGGAGCATCGACAATCGAGCAACATGACCTCCACAGTCACCATCATTCCTGGACGTACTTCTTGTTCAAGAAACGTTATTGTGTTGCAATTGTGAAATATGTTATTGATTTGATTATCTAAATTAATCATATTTTAATAAACTTGTTGTATCACTATCTAATTCTAAATAAATAAATATATAAAAGTACTTGACTGCTGCAATTACAGTCAAGCCATCGCCGATCAGCCCGTTAATTTGGTCCACGTCGTCGGGCTCGGATAGTATGCTCTGTCAGCTCATGTTGTGAGTAATACATTGCACGTACGGGTCACATCACGCACGGGTCACATCACTCAGTCCAGTTAGGCCAAGCGACCTAAGGTGGGCTGTTGGCTTAAAATCTGTTATAAATTAGGATAAGGTATATTCTAACTCAGAAATTTTCTTCGAGACCAGCTTAACATTAACAGATAGATACTATTATTGGTCCGCAACTTGCTAGCCTACTGGCCCCTTTTTGCATCCGAGGCTACAGCTAGCCTTATATTGCTAGCTGCATTTATAGCTGTAAAACCTCGATCATTGAACTAACTGTATCTGGAGATCATATTAATGTTGTTACCATGGTAACACTATTATTATTAATGTTATGCTGGAGACTGTTTGAATAAATTGGCCGGTGCACTTTACCAATTGTATTTGTAGTTGTACTTGTATATGTACTTAGTATAGCGTAGTTGTATTGTGTTAAATTGAACTTCAACATGTAAAATTGAAGTGACGCGTGATTACCTTCACAAGATTGCTTCTCATTTAAAAAAACTTTTCCTGAAGAGCCAGAGCACCTAACAGTATAGATAAACTCCAACACTTGCAATACCGTTCAACTCAAGCTTAACTGAAAACTGCAATGGCGAGGACTGGCCTGGACCGAGCTTGGAAAAGTCTCAGAAGGCACGGACGAAAATGCCAGAACTTGAAATGCAGACAGACTGTTGCACTGATAGGATCTGCTCTGATCCAGTTCAGTGTCGGCACTGTCACCTCGTTAGGTTAGTCTTATTTACAAAGTTACATCTGCACCAGTCAACCAATCTAAACCAATGTAAATAACAGATACTGAAATACTCATTTATATCAAAAATCAATATCAATACTCATTGAGATACAACATTATCAACGAATAGTATAAAGGAATGAGTACACATTTTAACGTGCATCAACACAGGAAATCAGGTCATATACCTAGTGTCGTATGCGAGGGAAAGAGGGGCCAAGCAACCCAACTTACGGTACACTGACATGTCCATCCTGGTGTTCTTCGGAATGTTGGTCACGGGATTTGCAAGTGTTCCGTGCGGTCTTCTTGCTCAGAAAATTGGAGGTAACGGCAATTAAATCTAATACTAATCTAAACCTCAAACTGTTTTTATTATTTAAAACGTTGCTGTTTTATTATTTATTGTGTGCCAGAGAATCGAGCATCGAAGTCATCATAAATAAAACGATATTCAATTTTTTATAATAGTGCCGTACAAAATTAACACCCATAATCACATATCAGGTTGGGAATCAGCAGCATTGGGTTCATTCATATACACGAGCTCCTTCGTGTTGGGATTCATAGCTGTGAAGTACAACTTCTACATCTACTACGGAGTTGCGGTTCTGATGGCAGTAGGGGTGACACTAGCTACTATTGGCGCTCTCACAGAGGCTATAAAGTGGGTCCCTAGGTGGGAGGGCATGGTAAGTTATAGCTCTCACAGAGGCTATAAAGTGGGTCCCTAGGTGGGAGGGCATGATAAGTTATAGCTCTCACAGAGGCTATAAAGTGGGTCCCTAGGTGGGAGGGCATGATAAGTTATAGCTCTCACAGAGGCTATAAAGTGGGTCCCTAGGTGGGAGGGCATGGTAAGTTATAGCTCTCACAGAGGCTATAAAGTGGGTCCCTAGGTGGGAGGGCATGGTAAGTTAGGAGCTCTCACAGAGGCTATAAAGTGGGTCCCTAGGTGGGAGGGCATGATAAGTTATAGCTCTCACAGAGGCTATAAAGTGGGTCCCTAGGTGGGAGGGCATGGTAAGTTAGGAGCTCTCACAGAGGCTATAAAGTGGGTCCCTAGGTGGGAGGGCATGGTAAGTTAGGAGCTCTCACAGAGGCTATAAAGTGGGTCCCTAGGTGGGAGGGCATGGTAAGTTATAGCTCTCACAGAGGCTTTAAAGTGGGTTCCTAGGTGGGAGGGCATGGTAAGTTATAGCTCTCACAGAGGCTATAAAGTGGGTCCCTAGGTGGGAGGGCATGGTAAGTTAGGAGCTCTCACAGAGGCTATAAAGTGGGTCCCTAGGTGGGAGGGCATGGTAAGTTAGGAGCTCTCACAGAGGCTATAAAGTGGGTCCCTAGGTGGGAGGGCATGGTAAGTTAGGAGCTCTCACAGAGGCTATAAAGTGGGTCCCTAGGTGGGAGGGCATGGTAAGTTATAGCTCTCACAGAGGCTATAAAGTGGGTTCCTAGGTGGGAGGGCATGGTAAGTTATAGCTCTCACAGAGGCTATAAAGTGGGTCCCTAGGTGGGAGGGCATGGTAAGTTATAGCTCTCACAGAGGCTATAAAGTGGGTCCCTAGGTGGGAGGGCATGGTAAGTTAGGAGCTCTCACAGAGGCTATAAAGTGGGTCCCTAGGTGGGAGGGCATGGTAAGTTAGCTCTCACAGAGGCTATAAAGTGGGTCCCTAGGTGGGAGGGCATGGTAAGTTATAACTCTCACAGAGGCTATAAAGTGGGTCCCTAGTTGGGAGGGCATGGTAAGTTAGGAGCTCTCACAGAGGCTATAAAGTGGGTCCCTAGGTGGGAGGGCATGGTAAGTTATAGCTCTCACAGAGGCTATAAAGTGGGTTCCTAGGTGGGAGGGCATGGTAAGTTAATAGCTCTCACAGAGGCTTTAAAGTGGGTCCCTAGGTGGGAGGGCATGGTAAGTTATAGCTCTCACAGAGGCTTTAAAGTGGGTTCCTAGGTGGGAGGGCATGGTAAGTTATAGCTCTCACAGAGGCTATAAAGTGGGTCCCTAGGTGGGAGGGCATGGTAAGTTAGGAGCTCTCACAGAGGCTATAAAGTGGGTCCCTAGGTGGGAGGGCATGGTAAGTTAGCTCTCACAGAGGCTATAAAGTGGGTCCCTAGGTGGGAGGGCATGGTAAGTTATAGCTCTCACAGAGGCTATAAAGTGGGTCCCTAGGTGGGAGGGCATGGTAAGTTATAGCTCTCACAGAGGCTATAAAGTGGGTTCCTAGGTGGGAGGGCATGGTAAGTTATAGCTCTCACAGAGGCTATAAAGTGGGTCCCTAGGTGGGAGGGCATGGTAAGTTATAGCTCTCACAGAGGCTATAAAGTGGGTCCCTAGGTGGGAGGGCATGGTAAGTTAGGAGCTCTCACAGAGGCTATAAAGTGGGTCCCTAGGTGGGAGGGCATGGTAAGTTAGGAGCTCTCACAGAGGCTATAAAGTGGGTCCCTAGGTGGGAGGGCATGGTAAGTTATAGCTCTCACAGAGGCTTTAAAGTGGGTTCCTAGGTGGGAGGGCATGGTAAGTTATAGCTCTCACAGAGGCTATAAAGTGGGTCCCTAGGTGGGAGGGCATGGTAAGTTAGGAGCTCTCACAGAGGCTATAAAGTGGGTCCCTAGGTGGGAGGGCATGGTAAGTTAGGAGCTCTCACAGAGGCTATAAAGTGGGTCCCTAGGTGGGAGGGCATGGTAAGTTAGGAGCTCTCACAGAGGCTATAAAGTGGGTCCCTAGGTGGGAGGGCATGGTAAGTTATAGCTCTCACAGAGGCTATAAAGTGGGTCCCTAGGTGGGAGGGCATGGTAAGTTAGGAGCTCTCACAGAGGCTATAAAGTGGGTCCCTAGGTGGGAGGGCATGGTAAGTTAGGAGCTCTCACAGAGGCTATAAAGTGGGTCCCTAGGTGGGAGGGCATGGTAAGTTACAAGCTCTCACAGAGGCTATAAAGTGGGTCCCTAGGTGGGAGGGCATGGTAAGTTAGGAGGTCTCACAGAGGCTATAAAGTGGGTCCCTAGGTGGGAGGGCATGGTAAGTTAGGAGCTCTCACAGAGGCTATAAAGTGGGTCCCTAGGTGGGAGGGCATGGTAAGTTAAAAACTGTAAATTCTATCCTTGCTGTCTGTTACTGAATTTTGCTTAGCTCTCTTATACAGGGCTAAATTTACAACACCATTCATAGTATGCCCGCCGCGCATGATTGCGCGGCCGTATCGTTGCTTTCGCAACGATGTACATTGTTAAATGAAATGACGATGAGGGTCACGACGTGAGACGACTTGAACCAACTTTTACAGGAGAACTGTACTTTTACAGGTTGGTACTTTTACAGGTGAACGGCATCAACTACGGAGCATTTGCAGCCGCCCCAGCGTTAGTGAACCCTCTGGTGACAGCTCTGGTTAATCCTCACAACATTTCACCTTCTGCTACACCCTACATTGATAAAACTGAAAAGTACTTCACTAACGCCGAGGTGTTGGACAATTTCCCTAAGATTTACATCTTTGCTGTTTTTGGTTAGTCCCTTCAGTCTACCTTATCGGACTTTATTTGAACAGACATTAAAATTAAAATGAACGCCATTTAATACTTTCAACACTACCATATAACAAATTATTTTAGGTCCCAATGTCAAAGCGATAGAAGAGACTATGACGTGACCGTTTGTATCCTAAGCAACGCATCTACTTCCTGGGCTACAGTATTGACTTCGCCATTTTCTCCTCCCTCACCGCCATTTTCTCCTCCCTCTTCCTCACATCACTATGGATCTGAATTCTGTTACCAATGTTTTAAACTCGTTTTCATTAAATGAGCTGAAAGCTCTCAAGGCCAGTGTTGAGAATGTCATGAAACTTAAGAGAAATTCTGTTAAATGCGAGGACTTCTTGGAGTTGCATTCAGATTTTGTTCAGAACAAGAGTGTTCAACATGGCACGTTGATGTCTGAACTTGAAACACTTATGGCCAAGCAAACTGCTGTGAAAACTGCCACAAAGTGGCTCACTTCCACTGGAGAAGAATATGTATGGTCTTCCTCAAATGGACACACCACGACTAAGGAGCCTATCGATATTTTTAATTATCCTGGGATATCAGAGCTTATGCA